ATACAAACATTTTTCGTACCATCATACAAATTTTCCCAAAAAAATACATTTGCCACAAAATTGACAAAATTTTCGACAAAATTGACAGAGTTTGTCCCATTTATTTTTATAACAAACCAAAATTGCCCGGCTGTTAATCGAATATTGCCTGACTGCCCCAAAAAACTGGGGGCTACCGCCCCCCCCCCCCCGCCCCCCCCCGGGACGCCTATGTACAGGTTGCTAACAACGTACACGGCTATCAAAATAAAGCGCCCAAAAAGATTCATGTGGTGTCATGGTGTTTCCACTTTACAAAATACAAATTATTGTAACGGAAGATTTCGCGATCGCTAGAATAAACTCAAAAACATGAACGAGAAATGAGATTTATCCACCCTTATTAGAAGAGAATAGAGATGGACTCTTTGGAGCGGAAGAAGCTTGTACATCATTCTCGCAGCGATTTGTTTTGCCAAACCAATCCGCGTTTCATATTATATATTTGACTATTGTGGAAGCCCCCCTCCCCCCTCCGCCAAAAAAAATTCGGTCAGTGTACCATTTTAGGGGTCAAAAAATTTTTCCGGACATACAAACATTTTTCGTACCATCATACAAATTATCCCAAAAAAATACATTTGCCACAAAATTGACAACATTTTCGACAAAATTGACAGAATTTGTCCCATTTATTTTTATAACAAACCAAAATTGCCCGACTGTTAATCGAATATTGCCCGATTGCCCAAAAACCTGGGGGGCTACCGCCCCCCTCCCCCCCGCCCGGTACGCCTATGTACAGATTGCAAACAACGTACACGACTATCAAAATAAAGCGCCTAAAAGATTCATGTGGTGTCATGGTGTTTCCACTTTACAAAATACAAATTATTGTAACGCAAGATTTCGCGATCGTTAGAATAAACTCAAAAACATGAACGACAAATGAGATTTATCCACCCTTATTAGAAGAGAATAGAGATGGACTCTTTTGAGCGGAAGAAACTGATACATCATTCTCCCAGCGATTTGTTTTGCCAAACCAATCCGTGTTTCATATTATATATTTGACTATTGTGGAAGCTATATATATATATATATATATATATATATATATATATATATATATATATATATATATATATATATATATATATATATATATATATATATATATATATATATATACACAAAGGCTTTGTGCATGGTGAGGTACAGTTCAACATCAAACAAAGGCCTTCAATCCAATTTTGTAGCTTTGAAGTTTTCGGGGTTTCAGACAATCATGTCTTGACAGACTATATGATCAAAACAAAGTTCAGTATATTCTATCAGCTAGATGCGCACAAGATACGCAACACTGTCCCCTGCATGTTCTTCAACGGATTTGAGCGAATCTAAAACTAGTTACTCTCTGAAAAACGTCGGGCGGAGGGGGATTAGAGAAGAGTCTTGATATGGTGCTACAAGTTTATTCACTTTTGTACAGTAGTACATAATGATATTATGTTGAGTTAATTCAATCCTGTACAGTAGATTTTGATTTAAACTTGATTTCAATAGATGATTCCTGCTATCGACTGAATTTTTGAAATTATCAAATTTTGAGTATTTTAGTATTACGCGTGGAAAAATTGAGCCGAAAATGGTGTATTTTTCAGCGCGTAATACAAAAATACTCAAATTTTTGCTAATTACACAAGGCTAATTTTTCGTATTTTACAACATTTCACAACCGAACTTTGCAGTTTTACTAATTTTAGGATGCTCTCTTGAGCTTTATAATGACATATTTCGTCTTTCTGGTCAATTTTAGAAATTAGTCGATAGCTGAAATCATCCATTTATGATTTGATTAAAACTATGTTTCCAACTCGATTGCAGTATGTTTTGAACTAAATTTAAGTAGAATAATTTAGATACATGTCCTTATCTCGATAATAAACTATTAGATCATATATTACTGGGGGTTGATGGTTAAAAATTTTCAAAATGATGAATGAAAGCAGCTCCTTCAGTTTTATTTAACTCCGTACACGCACTTTCGACACCCTTCGTCATCGAAGGGGGACCACAGCTGAACACGCCGATTTTTGAAGCCTGAACAAGAAATATATATCGTTTATAAACATTATCGTCGGTATTTTAAAACCTCGTGCACTCGGTATACTTCATTACAAAACAGCTTTAAAGCTTTTGATATATCCTCTGGCGTATAGGAACCAAGAGGAGCTGAGGGAGAAGCTTGCTCCCGCTACAATTTTGCAAAGTAGTACATTAACTGAGAAAGCTGTAGATGATGCGGCTACCTCAAAAATACAGAAAGAACGTTACCGTTTCATGCGAAGGCCATTCGTCTACTATAATTTCGAGACAAAGGCATTTTTGTGATTTCGACAAAGTTTCTACAGTTTTCTCAGTTTGTAGCCTTCACTTCATATTTGATGATAATAATACATTTTTGATAACAATATTAAGCTTACCCACGGATGGGTGGTTGTCGATAGAGACTCTAAAAATGGCAGAAAATCGGGTCGGCCAAAGTGAGTTGTAGATCGCAGTCCGGTTAACAATGACTTGCCGGACATCTTTTGAAAATGGCGTTCACATATATACTGGAAGAAATAAATAAAGAAAGAAATGAATAATAATGTATAAAATTCGAGCAATTTTACATGTGCATCAGCAAGTGAAATTCCTTACCAACATTGTCGTTCTCAAATCAAACTCACGATAAAACTGAGTGACAAAAATATGAACACTGACAAGATCATTAGAATCTTTTTCTTCGACCTCACGTATAATGTCTGTCAACCATTCAAAATGCTTTTGACTTCTTGTAACCCACAAGAAATACACCTAAACGTCAAGTTCAAAATCAAAGTAATTAGCGTATTTCCAGGCGAAATTGTTCACACTTTGTTTTAAAACCAGTCGAAAAACTTGCTAATTGGAAATGTCGGGATATTTCCTGTCAACATAGAGACCGAACTTCGGTTCTGGCAGACTGTGTAAAGACCCATTTGCACTCAGGGAAATTTCCCGCGGAAAGAAAATTTAGGTTGGAAAAAAATATGAAGTTGGAAATTTTGAACTTTTAACAATGATATTTTCGGGAAATGTTCTGTCCGTGTAAATTTTTCTTGAGTGGAAATGCGCCTTAAGGAAAAGTACCTCAGGCATATTTGTGAATTCTGATACCTTCTTACAAGAGAATGTAGACTTCAATGTTCCTTTGTGAGCAATATCTTTCAAAATTGAAGCAAATGGAGTGACTCCAATCCCTCCTCCTACCAAAACTGACACTTCGTAACGATACCAATCTTGATGTCCTTCACCAAATGGCCCATCTACGTACAACTAATACAATTGTACAGCAATAGTGACAAAAATACATCAGTAACTGCATGGTGATTTCTAGGTTATGTAAGTAGTCAGGTGTGTGCAAATCATCCTTACTTGCATCCGGGAGCTAAGCTGAATTGGGAAGGACGTAAGCTATCCTGATCCAGTCTAAGGCTTACTAACGGCCCCTTTGTCAGCCACATTATGACCCATATCTCATCACGGAGTACAGTTACGGTGGAAGGGTCAGTTAGGGGGTCATTCTATTCAACTCTGTGAACATTTCCTCCTGTGGGACGAAACTTGAGTACCCAGGAAAAACTCAAAATTTCGGTAGAGCGTTTCGGTAGAGCCTTTTAAATAAGTGTCATGTGTCCGCAGTGTAAATCGAAGCCATATGATATCAGAGCTGAATTGAAAGGCGCTTGTTTTGACGATTGCGCCACCGAAACCCATCATGGCCGGGGCATTTAGCCGTCACTTTTTAATAATGCTTTTTCAAAATGTTCTTCTCTAATGAAATGTGGATATGATCGACTTTTTTTTATATTTCGAAAACCCGGAATGCAGCAAGCTGGCTAAAAATACGAGGTTTTCTAATGACATTGCATTTTTGAAGGATACTTCAGTGGTGGCGCAAAACTGACAAAGGGTCCATTTTCCTTGCCCTTCCCCAGGTTTGTACGCGAGCACCGAAGGCATGAGCCAAGAACAGCAGCCACGAGTCAACTAGGTGGTCTGGGGCATGCCACCCACCTCCCCCAGCAATTTTTATTCGATAGAATAAATTATATATTATATATTATATAAATAAATCTCCAACCTGCGGGTATCCAGATCTTTCCAAATTAGCTCTCTCGTATATGTGACGTAAGTTGATAGTCCAGGGTCCCACGGCTCTGATATGGAGGCTGAGGTTGTCCTCGTGTGGGGCTGATGTGAGGGTAAAGGGGTGGTACTCTCCATGCCCCAGACTATGGCAAGCGATGCGGCACCATTGTCCAGCTTTGTATTCGAAATTCGAAGGACGTTTAAATTCTAAATTGGTAATGTCTTCAGAAAGAAAATGAAGTAATGTTAGGAAGTTAGGACCAGAGCGCATTCAGGCGGGCCACCGTTTTCATCCTACCCCCCCCCAATTCATCACGTGTGCCCAAATCTCAAATTTAACGTCAGTGAGATTCTAAGTCCTCCAAAACTGGCATGTTGTGGTCGAACTACTGTTGAATATACGAAATTTTAAACAAATTTTTAAAGAAAAGGTATACTTATGCACGTTTTTTACTTTTAAAAACCCGTTGCCGTTCGTACTAAAGAGAACAACTTGCCAAACTCAGCTGTGTGACGGGTGGCCATACTTTTGGCGGGAAAAATTTCGTACGTATTGCCGTACGTACTCGTATAGTCAAAACTAAACCTCGTTATTGCTTACCGGAGGGCAATAGTTCCGCTTTAATTACGGCAATGTCCAACTTCTTCCTCGACATACTGACCAGCTTGTCCAACGTAAATAATATAGCTGGTCCAAGAAAGAAATAATGGAAGAAAGGGCGCTGCACGAGATTACCACTACCATGTAGGATGGTGAGAATGTACATTACAATATATAGTTGATGCGTTGTCCAGAATGTCTTGAAACAATGGCGCCTCGAGTATTGAGTTGCAAAGACATACATGACTGCAACAACAAGGACTAGGAATACGCCAGTTATGCCTGAAATGAAAAAATTTTGACAGACGGACATGACGCATTGTGATACAGAAGATTGATAGGGATGTTTTTAAAATATATTTATGCGTTTGCCCCTAGAGCGATATAGAGAGATATATATATATATATATATATATATATATATATATATATATATATATATATATATATATATATATATATATATATATATAGATATAAGCTCATTTAGGGAGCTCACCCCAATTTACACTTAAACACTTTTTAGCATTTTTGCACAAGTGGACATAATAAATCCTGCTAGTTGATTGGTCAAATTTGACGTTATTAAGATGTTATATTCACCTGCAGGTGAATATCACAAAACCGAAATATTCAAAATATGGCGGCTAGCCGTTTTGTGGAAGTTACTGATAAAAAATAAGCGAAATTAAAATAAATTCAGTCCCAAAAGACCGTAAAAGACTGTAAAAATACTAAAACAATTATTCCCCTCGGTCTCGGTGATTATTGGAGAATATTCACCTCGACTTTGTCTCGCCGAATATTCCGCGATAATCCAACGTGAGCTCCACCTTTGAATTTACTATATGAGTAAATTCTTAAACACTTCCGAATTTATCATTATGATAAATTCGCGGCATATTTTGAATTTATCAATAGAGTTAATCATAAAACCACAAGCATTGCACAAGGTTTCCCGTTATAAGTGTAATAGCACTAAAAGGGAGGCTGGTCACTAAAGGCCCGTTTACACGGGCGATTTTTGCTGCGATTTTAGTTGCGATTTTCTCCTTTTGGAGGATGCGAAGGAGTAGATTACTTAAGATGTTGTTATAAGATTTCATAACCAGGAACATTTATAACTCATCTATTCCTTCGCATCCTCCAAAAAGAGAAAATCGCAACTAAAATCGCAGCAAAAATCGCCCGTATAAACGGGCCTTAAAAGGGAGGCTGGTCAAATTTCTTAAAAAAATAGTTTTTAAGAAAGTTTTAAAAAGTTCTAAAAGATTTTTGAAAAGCAGGAAAAGTTTAAAAAGTTAGATTTTTAGGAAATTTAAAAAAATTCAAAAAGTTAAAAAAATTAGGTTTAGGGGTTAGTGGTTAGGGGTTAGGGTTAGGGGTTAGGGTTGGGGTTAGTGTTAGGTGCCGCGAATTTATTATTATGATAAATTCAAAATTTGCCGCGAATTTATCATAATGATAAATTCGGACGTGTTTAAGAATTTACTCATATAGTAAATTCGAAGGTGGAGCTCATGCTGCGTAATCACCTCGCCTTTGGCGAATAATTGTAATTGTTGAATATTAAAGAGTGGTAAATAACAGAATAGACAGCCTAAGTAGCGGTTGGATCAATCATTACAGAAACGCTCCGATCTTTTAATATATAATTATATATGGAAAAAATAGCAATGTTTTCATACAAAGTCAGTTTCTCAGATCCAAACAAAAACATTTTCGTTTCAGAAAAAAATATTATATGATAGGTAGATGATTATTAATATCTAATCATAGGCGCATACGGGAGGAAAAAATTACAGGGGCAAAAATTTTCATTCATAAAATTTTCTCTCATAATTCCTGTGTATGAGGGAGGGGAACGGGACGAGCGTCGACGATTTTTAGACCCTAGCTTTGCACTTCCCTTTCACCATTTGCCCGAATTTTAAGTTAAATATGCAAGATTTTTAATTAGTTTGAGAATATATAAATGACCATCTTTTGTTGCTTGACATCTTGTTCTTTTTACAACTTTTTTGCTTTAAATTTCATGGAACGTACATGACACTCTTATTATATTAATATTAACTCATTATCGTTATATCATTATCATCAAGAATTAAGGTGGTTCGATACACTTTTCAAAAATTCAGATGGGGTTCAACACTTTGACATGGTTAAACTACGCATTTTTAGGATTTATTCAGCAGATATCTGGATTTTATATTTAACAAATGTAAAACATTTTCCGTGTTGATATACAGTTATATCAATACGAGTGGAAATTGGGAAAACGAGAAATTGTGTGGAAACACGACGCCCGAAGGGCGCAGTGTTTTCACACAATTTCGAGTTTTCCCAATTTCCACGAGTGTTGATATATCAATACGGAAAGAATGTTTTGTATTTGTTTTATAATATAGCACAATGAAACATAAAGAAACAAATTTTCCGACGTTTCCGTGTTGACACTGAGTTATATCAACACGGCTCTTAGCCAAACAGCGTTCAGAATTTACAAATGCTATATTATAAATTTTGATATCTCTACTTTCAAATTATATTAGTTTTAGTAACAGATAGTTCGTTGCTATGACGACATACGTGTACGAAATTCTCTTTAAAATGGCATATCGTCTCGTATAGTTGAAAAAAAGGCTTTTCGTGCATTATTTTACTTGGAAGAAAAACTAACAATTAGCGAAATATAAAAAAATTCTGTGATGCCATTTTTTTGGAAAATGCGAAAATGTCGTTCTCTTTGGTGAAATGTATATGGCATTACAGAACTTTTTTATTTTTTGTATAATGGGAGATTTTAGCGGTGCAATATATAGCATGCAAAATTTGAACATAGGTCACCAGACGAAAAAGAGAGATTGTTTTTCTAAAATGGAGAATTCTAATGACGTCAGCAATGGACATAAAGCGCCATAGGAGACGCGCAATTGCAATGACGTGAGATGGCGAGAGCAACTGCTCACGTCAGTTAATCAGTTTCCGTGATCTGCGCGTAAAAATGGTCACCCGATTTAGTTTGCGATTCATGAGCAGGGTTTTTGTGATAACTATATTGAGCCACCTTAACACATACAATAACAATTGACCGTTCCGGTAATTACGTCACAGCTACACTGTTTTCAACTTAGGACTACCTATTTCACGTTTTATTCTCACTGATGTTCTGTTTCTTTGTGCATAGCCAGTGAGAAAAAACATTGAACTCCATTCCTGTCCATTTAAACGTGATTTAAGGTGGTCTTGTGTTGAAAACAATCGGTAGTTGTGACGTAATTACCGGAAAGGTCTATCGCATGGTAACGTCAATTTCGCATGGCATATGATCGCATAATATATATACATTACCAGTTACAGTCTCCCAGCACCAATAGTGAAAGGTTGGTAATTCGTGAGACCTAAAATTTACAGAAGTTTTATTTACCCAAAATGTTTATTACTTGGAGCTTGTTGTTCAAAGCTAGCTGAATTTTAGTTCATGTATATCTGCCCATTTTTTGTCTCGAAATTTCAGAGAAGAAAACCCTTATACTGATCCAGACAAGATTTTTAAAGACACATTTCCAAATTTAATTTATTACAACAAGCTGTTGGGAAGTTTGCTTTGAATTTTAGGTTAACACACATTCCCGTGCAAATAATATTGAGGCAACTAAGTCATTGCCCTCTCCCCCCACGAGCAATGTTGGACAAACTATAGAAAGCTATATTATCAGGTCAAATTGTTTTTCAACATTGAATAGGTGGGAGGGGACTGAGGGGGTGGGGGTGGGAGTAATCAGAGAAATAGAAGGAAATATTAAAAGTTTCATTATATTTGCATGCAATAGTAGGTTAACTGAATTAACTATACCCTGATTTTTTCGGTAATTATAAATGAACGCAATTTTAGTCAAGTGGACGTAATTAAAGTCAACACCGATTACTTAAAACGTATTTTAAAGTGATATTGGCAATAAAAATTAAGTTAGCGCAAATTGAAAGAACTTTGAAAATGACATTGTACTTTAAGGCCCTTTACAATTCTTTTTTATTGTAAGTGATTCTAGAATCAAGCCAAAATTATTTCAAATAACACCAACTTAATATTATACTGCCACTTCCCTTTAAAATAGTAGAATATGAATAAATCCATACCTTCGAAAATTGTTGCTGAACAAGCACAGTAAATCATTTGCAGGCTGAGTGCTTATGTGGTAAAAATTGAGTGCATGTCCGACGCAATGCATTACTAAAGACAAAAAAAAAGAGAATAGGCGTTCATTAACAGCAAAATGAAGAACAAAAAAGTTTGCGTGTAACTGTTTAGGTGTGTACTCGTGGGTTTGAAGGTATATGGGTCACCGCGAGCTACAATGCCGGCAAAAACTAATGAAACATCCAGTTTCATTAACAATTTAATGTATTCTTCCCCCTTCCAATGTTGATTAAGATGAGCAAGAAACCTACACATAGTGCTCTCTGCCATCGTTGAGAATCTATGTCCAACATTGTGCAGGGGGGAGGGGATTTTTTCTGTTTTATTGATTTTTTATAGGTGTTTCATTAACTTTTTGCCAAGATTGTAGGTTCGTTATTGAAAATAATGAGAGAAAAAATGAAATGGCCAGAAACTTTATAAAACGTACTATAAAAAGAACTTATCCATATGTAAGAGCTATAATTTTAGCTTTTACGCTACGTTTATGTTTAACTGGATGAAGTTTGAGTTCAGTTCTGTTCAGCAAATCCTCCTCAGCTAAATTCCAGAAACTTAAAAAAGGCCAAGGACAATACCTGTGAAAATAAGTGCCCACATTGCAACATACTTATGAAACGCGATGTTGGAATCAAATGGAACATAATGACCAACAAATGTTTCTCTCAGGAAAGTGATCAAGTTACGACACATGGTAACCAATAGCGAAGAGTATGTAAACATCATTGCACTCGCAGCACCACGTGTTACTGTTACACCATATCCTGCTATCCGCCGTAATCCACTGTGTTCGCGCTCTACTGAATAATCTACAGAAATAAAAGTATTAATATATTTTTTGATAATTATGTCACAAATTCCTCCACGACTCTGGAGCGCGTTGTCAACTAGGAACTACACACGTAAAAATGTCGCAACTTGTCTACAAGCTAGCTGTGTTCGCAACAGGCCTGTCAAAAGTTGTAATAATGCTGTTATTTTATCAATGTTGCTACAAGGTTGCATGTGATTGTTAAATTTGCAGAACGATAATAGGTTATTGGAACAACCTGTAACAAGTCTCTTGAGCTCAATAACCTTCTAACAAGTTGTCAACAAGCCGTTGACAACATGTCAATAATTAGCAGGGAACAAACAGTGCGAAAACATCCTGTACACCAAGTGCGAATAGATTTGTAGAATAGAATAGAATCATCATATTACTGCCTCACTCTTATTGTTTTTGGGTCCAGGAGTTACATCCCAACCTCTTTTACGTCTGGGCGGAGGGGAGGGTCTATAGCTCCTCTAGCCTCGCTGCTTGCCGCTCATGCTAGTAGAGCCCGAAGAGGCGCCGTTGACACTACGCTTGAGCTAAAGTAAATGGGAGAACGACGATTGGCTACATACAATAAGCTCTTTCGGCGAAAATAGCGAACAGCACCAAAGTGTACAGAACGGCGATAAATATTTCCGAGATGTGATTTGAAACATAATTCTGTATTAGAATCCAACGTTTTCGTACGACACGTTGTTCGTCCACTGACTTCTGTACTGTTACTTTCACTTTCGGTCTGACATTGACGCGGGAGGGACTGTAATTGAGAAAAATAAGGAAGGAAGGGAGAAACAAATTTATTATTCACATGGAAAAATTATTGGTGAGTGGAGTTACAAGGCAAGGTAAAATAAGGTACCCGCCTCGCCCTCTGGTAGGTACTGTTGGTCTCACCTGAAAGGTTTCATCATAGTTTTCTTTGCTCGGCTTAGAGCATTATCTTTCTTCCTTCCCATTTTTGGGGAATCCTTTATGTCCACTAAGATTCCTCTGTGTACCTCCAGGCCCGTACCTAAAAGGAAAATCCATTCACAAACGATTTAACCCTCTAAACTTTTAAGGAAATGACGGAGAGGTTTGATAAATTTCTGTTTATTTCAGTCATTGCTCGAAAATATAAAAATGGAACAATTAGCATCTGTATAGGGTTGATTCATATTAAATTAGAATAAATATTCCCTCATAAGAATTGCTGTTATGCAATAACATACCTGACATGTTCAACTTCGCATCATCAAGATTGGTCATATACTCTCCCATGCAGTTTTTGAAATCTTCAAATGTCAATTCCGTCTTGTCTTCAAGACCAGGTTGGGAAAACATCGAGTCAGTTAGGACATGAATGTGATCTGATTCAACGTCGGCGTTAACAAGTTCCATAAATGAGCTGCAAGGAAGAAAAATGATATGTATGTATGTAAAACTTTATTTCAATACGCTAACTTCGACAATTATTTACAACTGGTTTCCACGAAGGGCGTATACACACAAAGAGCTAAATGTTAATTATATATAAAACAAAGTATGTAAGAATCCCACCCTAAAATTTTATCATCTTCCTCCCAAACCTCCACCCCCTAAACAAGTACCCACCCACCCTCACGCAAAACTAACCCCCCTCCCGCCCACAATCTATATTGTCCTCCCATCATTTGGTCCTGGAGAAATTAGCTTATCATCTGCTTAAATGCAATTTCGCCATTGTTTTAAATGACGTAATTGACTCAGCCGCATTGACATCTAGCGGGAGACTATTCCATAGAATTGCTCCACTGTATCCAAATGTTTTCTTTAGAAATTCCGTTTTCGGTTTTTTTAACGAGAGATCAGTTTCGCTATTGCGTAAATCATAAATATTCTGCGATGCATTTCTCCGAGAAAAAGATCTTTAAGGTTTGGCGCAGTGTGGTTCCCCAAGACTTTATACATCAATACTAGCTTGTTTTGTTCTCGTCTCCTAGCCAGGGTTTCCCAACCTAATTTGTTTAGGACTTCAGACGATCTTACATCGTAGTCAGCTCCGGTAATCACCCTTGCTGCTCGATTTTGGAATTTTTGCAATTTGTCTTGAAGTCCCAAACCACAGTTATCCCACAGGGAGAACAGTAATCAAAATGAGGCTGAATTAATGTTTTGTAGACATCATGTAAGGTTTTGTGTGGAACATAAGGTTTTATTCTTTTAATTGCTCCTATTCCAGCGCTAATCTTATGGCATACAGAATCAATATGTTTCTCCCAACTTAATTTTTCATCTAGATTTACACCTAGACATTTAAATGTATTGGTTTGTGGGACTGGGATTTTGTTAATCTCAACGGGTCTATTTCCTATTTTATGATTTAGATTATGCGTAGATCCAATAAACATGACTTTCGTTTTTTTCCTATGATATTTTAGTTTGTTTTTAGCAAGCCATTTATGAATACTGGAAAGGTCCATATTCAAATTGTCAATCAATGTATCGTAATCATGCGAAGAGGAAGATATCTGAGTGTCGTCGGCATAAAGACATGGGGTTGTCCTTTCTAAAATGTCAGGCATATCATTAATATATAGCAAAAACAATAATGGACCAAGTATGGATCCTTGCGGAATTCCGCATATTATTGTTCTTGCAGAAGAAGTTTGATCATTAACAGAGCACACTTGCTTTCTATTCCTTAAGTATGATTGGAACCATTTTAATTCAATGTCGTGAATTCCAAACCGGGTTTTAAGCTTCTCCAATAATATCTCGTGATTCACTGAGTCAAATGCTTTACATATATCAAGAAAAACAACTCCATTTATTTTGCCTTCATC